AAGAGTGAGTACTCAATTCTGTGCGATTTTCTCACGCCTCCTCGCCAAGGCCGCTTCAAGATCGCTCATATGATTCGGTTGTGGTGAAATTGCCGTAACAATTCTGGTAGCTTCCGAACGCTTTGGTGGTGGAGGTGGTGGCGCTTTTTTAGGAGTAGGGAGTGCCTGGTTGAGAAGCCGGACTAAACGTCTGTGGAGGTGAAACACATTGCGGCAGTTGTTGCTTTATCGGTGAACAGTTCGGTGATGTCATCGATTGTCGAATAGGTTTCGGTGGAGCTGCTGGGACAACACGAGCCTCCGTCTGAAATTTAGAATTAGAAGGCAATTTGCACCGAAGAAATAAAGATTAACAAGAACATGGCATCTTCATCTTCTGGAACTTAACATCAAGGCAAAACCTACCTGACTCGGAGTCGAAGTCCTGCTCAATACTGGCGGCGGTGCAGGGAACTCCTCATCTGAATCTTCATCGTCAGGCGTTCCTGAAAAACGCAACTAAATTTCCTCTTCACCATTGAAAAACCTAGGTATGACCAGTAGATGAAATTGAGCGTGCGCTCGGCCCGAACTTCTGCTCAAAAGACATGCTGTTGTACAATAGTAAGTCCTAGCTGAGGCTGTTTCAATCTTTTTGTTCAATTTTTTTTCCAGTTTTTTTTTACACTGCCACATACGTATGCAAGTCGCCCCTCATCGCAAGTGAGAACGTTTTGCCCTACACTCCCTTCAAAATTCATTTTACGCTGTTCAGGTTTCAATTTAAAATCCAACTTTATAAAGACGTGGGGGAAAGGCGGATGTCACGATGAACCGCACCCACACTGCACAGCGGCTATTGGAAGCGATTTATCTCACTTGAAGCAGTACAGAGTAAGGTTTTATAAGCCTCACCAATTGACTGGCCTCCTCCATTTGACGATGATGAGTGGCTAACTCGTCGCAGCACATCAAGTGGAGGCGCGTTTTATCGTACCGGTCGGTTGCTCATCGTACTGAAAATTGGAAGCTTGATCGAACATATCGAATACTACCTTCCAGTGGACAAAAAACCCTTACATCCAGAAGACCGCTCAAGGACTAGAAAGATTTTTACTGATGCAAATACTAGAAAGCTCTCATTTTTCGAAATGACACCTAGCATAAACAGCCATTCAGAAACAGCAGCAGTCTTCCTCATTGCATGACTCAGTGTACATATTATCAAATCCCCGTCTCTTGTAATGTTACACACAGCCCGTGGTTTGAAAATATAATGGTAACCGACCTCTTGGAAATGTATGGCAGTTGAATTAGCTACGCTGATACAACGCTCAGTCGAGACAGCACTAAGTCGGCTAGCCTGTGATGGTGATTGCATTGAGGATGCCTAAACGTGCGAATTTGAAAAAAAAGGCCAAACTTGATGAAACTCACGTGAATATGCCAATCTAATTATTCTAAATGACCTAGTATATAAGCTCAATAGACCTACAGAACGTCTACTTCATTTTCTCGAGTACCCCCTAATTGCCATCCCTTTGCAAAGAAACACAGTTATGAAAGATTTTCTCCAGCACAATCTTACAACAAAGAAACACAAATTAATGGCTAGAACAAAGAAATTCAGAAGTGTGGAAATGAGGTAAACATGGCCCACCTTTCCACTATGATCGGAATAGTTGGAGCCGAGATCGTGTCGACTAGAAGAACATGAAGGTGTGGGGCCATGTTGCTCGCGAATATTTACACTAATTGGCTGCTGCGAGGCAGACGATGCGACACGATGGTGGCAACACGTGGTGGTGGCACACAGACAGGCTGCTGTGACAGTGCTTCTCGACGACGTTCACATGCTCGAGCGTAGTTTGACATCAGGTTGACACCATTCTGGAACAAGGTTAAATTTCAGGATGGGAAAAAACTACCAACCTCAGTAAGCTGCAATTTCAATACAGCAGAACTCAATTTCATACGGATACTCTATAGTTACTGAGAGCTACTTTCTTTGACAACCCAGTAAACGCGAGAGCTATTCTGCTTCACAGGATCAACAGTGAATATGGTAGATAAAAGGCTTCTAATGCTTTCTTCTCTCAACACCCTTCGCTACTCGAAATAGAAACTACTCAGTTCGGAGACAATCATGTTGTGCCAAGCAGAAAGAGAATCTACTGTTGCTGCTACCAGCAGCACAGTGATTTACGCAGCCTATTTTTCCAGCTCTATCTACTAAACTACGGATCTCTTCCATCTTTCTGGCTCCGGTTCTTTGATCTTTCTTCGAAAGAACATATAAACTATTAAAACTTCTGATTGATGATGGTCCCCAGTTCAGGACAGTTAGGTCGGTCGTCATTAATAGCAACTTCCCCTCACGCGCATAACCCGACAAAGGAATATAAAAAAGATTGTCGGCTCAAGCAACTCTTGAGCCGAAATCGTAATCTTAGGTAGCTCTCTCCTTAAGGCACTATTATCAGCACCTGTTTTTGGAATGCCATTACTATTTAAGCATCCTTGCCCACTTGAAAGCCAATTCTTAGCAGCATACATGAAGTGAAATTTCTTTGCACCCTCATAGAAAAACCTCATTTTGAATGAATTATACACGGAATATAAGAAAAACGAGAGGCAATCACACCCGCGTGGTTAGATTGGTTAGACTGAAGCTTGAGAAGGTTGAGGAAATTGCAACGAAATAGGAACAGAGTCGCTTCGACTGACCTTTGCAATTCTTAGACCAACCAGCCATCGTCGGAAGGTTTGCTCGTCATCGGCGCAAATGTACTTGATGTATTGTGAACGCTTCATTTGAAGTTGGGTCAACTGAAACATAGGTTGCTAGGTGTAATTGCCTGAAAGAGCAGAAAGCAAACAAAAAAAGTAATAGAAAACGGAAAAAAAGAAACAGAAAACGAAAAAAAAATTGATGAGCATACCAACCTTGATCGCTATACACCAATCCGTTGGAGCCTTATATTTCTTAGCCCAGTTGATTCCAGTGTACACTTGATTCGAGTGCAGGTTCATCAAACACTGGAGATCCTTCAGTGATCTGAAACTAATGTGTTGAAGTGAAAATAAGATTAGAACTCAAGGTTAGACGCAAAGCTTTCAGCCTTGCGGTTTACTGCCGATATGAGCTAACTGGCTTATTACGTTGGACATCTAAGTGCTTGAAGCCATGATAAATTACCATTGAAGCTGGACTGGGGTGAAATGCCCCGGTAGCGTACTCGGTAGAATAGTACACAAAGCTAGAAGGTTTCGATTCCCGCCTTGGCCGAAAGTTTTGCCCATAACCCAACATTCTTGTGAAAGAATTCAGAGTTGTCCATTCAAATAGCAATCGCAGCCGATTCTACTGATAAGCGACGCAAATGGTTGAACTATAGGCAAGAATTTGAAAGTAGGAGAGAAAATGTGGTGATATTTTGCCAGCGTACTGAAATGTCAAGACAACATTAAACATAGTATCGCTTGGCCGCAACGCTGATGCAGAAAACATCGAGAAAGACGGGTTTAAAAGGAAGATAAAGTGGAATGAGCGTCTTCCTATGACTTGTCGAAATAACACAGGATTTAG